TCGACAAATTCTTGCGGAGTCCAAAGAAATGAAATTCAAATAAAAGGAGGTCAGCTGTTCCAATTTCATCTTTTAATATCAGAATAGCGGATATAGTCATGATTCAATGGGTCAGGTCCACTTACTTTTTCTTTTGTTTTCTTTTGGTGATTTCTAATCTTTAGAATGGATTTGATTGGCATAATGGAAAATAGGAATATTTAGTAATTCAAGAGACGACTTATCATTATTGATGATAATTATAATTTACTGAACAAATGTTCAACTTTAACTTTATAATTACTATACTATAACTCAGTAGAATGATAACGTATTATACGTGCACATGTTTTCCTGGTGAGCCAACAACACCTGATTTTCCCTTGTTTGTGTGCCAAGTCATGCGCAACCAATGGTTTGGTTTTTCAAGCTAGTAATCCACCACAATTCTGAGTCCATACAGCTAGCCTTGCGTGCTTGCTTGTGCCCAACGTGCCCATGCATGTGCTCCATTCCTCAACCATACATGCAGCCCACACAATTGCCTTCCACCAACAATGAGTCCCATCGATTATTGGCCATACATCTCGTGTCTCGGACTTTGGAATGTCTAATGTCTACATCTATAGAAAGCATTTGTTAAGGTCGTACCTTATTGTGGTGTGCCAAGGCTAAAGGGCATAGGGGTCCTTGAGGAAGGCCATCTAGCACCCCCTTCGCAGAACACCCTCCTATAATAGTGTTAGTGAGTAAAACTCTAGTGACACTATCAGACATCTTCCTTAGGAAGTTAACTTTGCACAAAGGGGTTGATTGGCCAAGCACATCCTCATCTTAATTAAGGCATGGAGCACCTTTGGGCGAGGCACTCACATGCCAACCAACTAAGAGGGTAATATAAGAACACATGACAAAGCACAAAGGAACCACTAGCTGACGTGGTAGGATGGCCTCCTCGAATTGCAAAGGACACGGTACCACGTGCGGTGCTCAATACCGCAGAAGGACGGGACAAACTCTCTACACAACGGAAGTACTTGGGTAACTTGGTGTGATCTACCTAATTCACCCTTTTACGGTCGGGACACTACGAATGATAAAAAAAATGGCATCTTAGCAAAGTGTTCATGGAGTTCTCTCGGAACAAGATCACTTGAAAGAACCTACGTTACCCATTAGATGCCGCAATGGTAAGGTGAATCAATGATATACTGTTGCTCGATTGATTTAAGGGACTAAGGGAAGAGGTCCCCACTTTAGGACAGATAAATATAACCCTCCTCGAGGAAGAACTAGACAATAGAATTGGACGAGTATAATTGTCAACTTGGACTTTAAATAAGGTCTCAAAGGTTTAATCTGCTCGAATAAACCTCCAAGTGTATGACTTACTGTCTAATGAGTTATGCTTGAAAATGATCTAAAAGGACTCCTAATACACAAGGGGTAATGGTACAAGTCAACACATGGAATGATGACACGTGTGAATTAGTGGCTAAAAGATTAAATCTTTGTTAAAATGCCTCGGAAAGGGATTCTAAAGAGNGGGTAATGGTACAAGTCAACACATGGAATGATGACACGTGTGAATTAGTGGCTAAAAGATTAAATCTTTGTTAAAATGCCTCGGAAAGGGATTCTAAAGAGAAAGGAGGACCTTAAGTACATGATACACTAGAGGCACCGCAAACATAACCTTCCCGTGGTAATGCTCCATGGTGACCCGTCGTGACCCTTCACCTCAGTTGTCCCCCTTTTGCCTCAGAGGATGTGCTCTTTTCTTGAGGGACAAGTTCGGGCTGTATCCAAGGAGATGTCATATATGTCTAATTAATATTTGGAACACTCTTAAGATCAAATTTAAAAATACTGATCTCGACATCTAATAAACAATTTGAGTCTTTTCATCTCATATATTCATCCTACTTATCTCTTCGAGTACATTGACATTAAAAACGTGCGTCCAACATCCTTAAATCTCCACCTACTACTACCCTTAACATTGCTCTCTTTCCTTTGGTTTTTTTTTTTTAAAAAAAAAATTGGTTTTAAACATCATTTAACCTTACTTTTTGTTTTTTAACAACATTTAACCTTACTTTAATTGACATGAAATGGGCATAATCCCCAAATTGACGGAGTGGGCTCCCAGCGCTGTTCTTACTTGCAGGCTTACACCGTGGATTATCTGTATGTATGTCCGCGTGACAGTGACTTGCCCTGCCAACTTTATTTTAAAGTTCAATTAGCATAGTGATATTTTTATGACTTGCTTTTCTCTCATCATCTATTTAATTATGTGACAATCAAATTTAATTAATGGTGCTTCTTTCGGTGACCCTTATCCTATCCTATCCTATCCTACCCTACCCTCCTCTACCCTACAAATTACCATCAAATTATTCTACAAATACGTATATGTACATCAAATATACATGTTATGGTCATCAATTATAAATAATTAGATGGGAGGTAGGAATAGGATGGTTGTTTATATCGACTAAGGAAGGCCTTATGAATTTTGATAGTTTACCAAACATCTATTTGCAGCGCCCGACTGACGACACATATAAGAACAATATTTACTTGCCCAAAAAAGAAATATTTAATTCCACAAAAAAAAAGAATAAGAAAATCAATAACGAACATAGGTACATACAAATGACATATTACACTTTGATAACATTGAAATTTAAAATAAGAAAATAAAAAATCATACATTTACTAACAGTACAACAGATGTATGCATTGCTGACAATGAATGAAGCTAACAAGCAATCTGCATTCTGTGGGATCTGGATCGAACAACCACCCCTCCCTCAACTCCACCCCCAGCCTTGCCCTTCAACTAATTGGATTATGAATTAACTGGTTGAGGTTGGGCGGACGGACGGACGAGAGAGTTACTTGATGATCTTATGATCGATTAGCCACAGCCACAGCCACAGCCAAATCATATTTTTATATAGGTAAATAGCTAATATCTCCATCCATCCACATACCACAAGAACGAACCTCCATCATCATCATCTATCCCAATTCCCAATTCCCAATTCCCAATTCCCAACCCAACAGCAGCAAATTAAAAATAAAACGGAAAAACAAACAATATTGATGTGGGCACACAAAAACTTGGCTTCCCTTAATTAAGATCCTTCCATATTCCTTCATAAAGAAGGAGTCTCTCCACGAAATGTCCAAAAACTCAAGCTAGAGTTGAATTTCCATCCTCGAAATTCTTAGAGTAATTGGAGGAGGAGGAGTCGTACCTGAAGGTTTGACTTTGAGGAAGCCCCACTTTGTCAGAACTCATGAAGGCCCTTCTGAGCTCTGACCTCACCTTATACAAGACATGTCTCCAGCTACCCTTATTGTGACCTCCCAGGACCACTGTTTCTTCTTCGTTCATCTCCAGATCTGTGGCGAACGTGGGCTTTCGCGATAGGATCCAGGCCCATCCCCAGTCCCACCATTTCCTCACGGAACCCCCTGCATAGTCACTCATCGATGACACAGATTTGGATCTGCGAAAGTTAGCCCATGAAGTTGCAGAAGAAGAGATGGCGGGTTGGATCTTGAGGGAGAGAGAGGAGAGTCTCCTACGCAGGATCTGTTGATCTAATTTTGAGTCTGGTTGTGACACTGGGAGTGCTTGCTTGCTCTGAAAGTTGTGGAATATAGAGCTCATCTTCTCTACCTTTTTTTTTTTTTTTTTTTATCTATATCTTTAGATCCTTACGAATTTAAGGAAGAAGAACAAGAAAAAGAACCAATGAAAATGCAATGCCTTTTTTTTTTCCTTTCTGTTGAACGAATATTGGAATGGAAGCGTTTGTGGTAAGAGGAAACAGAGGGGATTGCTACATTACAGAGAGAGAGAGAGAGAGAGAGAGAGGAACGTTGCTGTGGCCAGCGCTAATATCACAGCCTGTTTTATTCGTTTTCCGCGAGGGCTTTGCATAGAATATGGTTGAAGAAGGATTTGGATTTGGGCAGGGGAATGAAGTGAGGTACCTCCTAGTGGCACCGACAGACAGGGCGGTTAATTTTGCGTTATTTTGTTGTTACATTACATGAATGATATTATGAATTAATTAATTAGAAATCACTGTAAGAGTATTTAATGAAGTTCACATTAAACTACATCTAATGTTGGACTAATTCTACTTCACTAGATTTATTGCATATATGTATGTATTTGTTGTCTAGTTAATTGTAAAGATACGTGATATTATTGTTACGTTAAAAAAAAAAAATATATCTATCAAGAAAGTTTTGTATGTATTGTATTTTTATCCCGAGATGATACATTTCATTCTAAAATTGGGTTTTACTCTTTAATTATTAGCTGGGGATTTGTTAAGAATGGTCTCATAATTGTTTGTTTGTTAGTCAATGATATCATGTCATGTATGATTGATATTAAAATTAATCTAACGGCTAATATTAACACTTTAAATTTAATAAGAAAAATAAGTCTTTAAGGGCGTGTTTATAGTGACTTTTTAAAAGTATTATTATAAATTATTTTTCATAAATATTTTTTTTTAAAATAGTATTTAAAACCGTTCTACCACTACCTCTATCACCACCACCTCCATCGACATTGTCATCGCCATCACCACCACCGTTGTCGCCGCTATCGTCGCCTCCAATCCCCTATCACTGTTGCCACCACAGCCACTGCCACCTCCACCACCCCCATTGTCACCACCGCTGCCACCATCGCCCCCACCACTGTCGTCGCCGCCGTCACCCTCGTCGCCCCTACCACCTCCGCCACAATCACCACAACTGTCACCATCGCCACCGCCACCACCACCATCACCACTATCGTCGCCACCACCATTGCCCTTGTCACCCCCACTATCACCACCACCATTATCATCATTGCCACCGTCGTCACTGTCGTCGTTGCCACCACCATCACCGTTGCCGCCGCCACTGTTGTTGCCGTCGCCACCACCATCGCCATAGCCACCACGATTATTGTCATGCACCACAACCATTATCATCTCTTACCATCACCATTGCCGGCCCCACCACCTCTCACCCCTATTACTAACCAATGCTTAATTTATTTATCTATTTTTTTTGTTTGTGATTTAATTTTGGATATGAATACAAATAAGTTTATTGTTTATCATTTTTTATTACTTTGCGCCTTCAGACACAGGCAATAACTAGTATTTATTTATATAATGAGTTAAAAGTTTAAATTTTATCTCTATACTAGTTTATTATTTGTGTCTGATATAACAGAGTAATAAAAATGATAAATAATAAACATATTTTGTATTCATATTAAAAATTAAATCATAAATATAAAGGAGAGATAAATGAATTTAAACATCGATTGTAGTGGGGGTGAGAGGTGGTGGGCGACAGTGGTGGTGGTAGTAGGAGATGGTGATGGTTGTGGTGGATGTCAGTGCCCATGGTGGCGGTGGTGGCGATGGCGGCGACGACAGCGGTGGCGACGATGACAACGATGGTCAGGGTGGTGGCCGTTGTGGCAGTGGTGGTGGTGGTGGCGACGACAGCAACAACGATGGCGGTGGCAGTGTCGACGTAGACGGCAGTGGCAGTGGTGGTGACGACAACGGTGATGGTGGTTATGGTGGCGGCGACAATGACAACGGTGGTGGTGGTGGTGGTAATAAAGGGCGGCAATGATGGTGGTGGGGGTAGTGGCGACAGTGGTGGTGGCAGTAGTGGTGGCAGCGACAGTAACAGTGACGGTGGAGACGGTGGCAGTAGAGGGAGTGGTGGTGGTAGTGGTAGACGTAATGGTATGACGGTTTTAAGCACTATTTTTTTTTAAAGTATTTATGAAAAATAATTGATAGAAGTAGTTTTTAAAAGTCACTTCAAGCACACCCTCAAGAGCCTACTTTTTTTATTAAATTTAAGGTGTTAATAGTAGCCATTACATTAACTTTAAAGTACTTACTCCATTTATAAATATCTATCGTTTTATAAAAAAAAATTTGTTCCACAATATGTTGTTTAATGAAATCAAAGTATAATTAATATTTTTTTTTTCAAATTTACCCTTATTTATGTTTTTCAATAAGTGCTTAATAGATTAAGTATAGGCTAAGTGTCTTTCATATTCTTTTCTTCCCAATACGTATTGATTAAGGATATTTTAGTCTTTAGCAATTATTTTTTCTCATACTAGAGCTATTTAATAACTTCCTTAATTTCTATGCAAAAACCTTAAATGACAGATATTTAGGAACGAATGGAGTATAATTTAAAATGATCTGAACCGTAAAAAATAAAAATTATTTTGTTTATCTTTTAAAATTTAAATTGTAAATTACTTTATTATATATATAAATAAAAAATATATCATATCACTGTTCTAAATAATTTTATTACTGTTAATACGACAAGTATTTAATAAATGTGACGTGGAGAAGAATTAAAATTAATTTGGCTTATGAAGTGGGGGCCGTGGGGACGGACGGCTTTTGCGTCATGTTAGCCAGCCAAGCCATCTGTCGCTTCGCTTGTACATGTTTTGGGATCCGCTCTCGCTTTCAATGCCGATTGCCGACACCGCAACCAACATTTTGATTTGTATAATATCAACATTATTTTGAGAGTAATCCTATTTGAATGTATAATTTGATCTAATTTATTGACATAATGATGTAATTTTATAAAAAATTATTAAATCAATACTAAGGTCTAACATTTGATGGGATCTACAATCAATCCAAATATCACAATAAATTAGGTTAATAAATTATGTCTCAATAACATTACTTTTTTTTAATCACCATCATATCCTTTGCACCTCTAATATATTTAAGTTAAAGTTAATTGCATTGAAGTTCTATAAAATATAAAATTTGTCTTATTTTAATTTTTAATATTTTAATTATATTATTTTAATCTGTGAAATATTAAATATATTTTTACATGATCCATCAAACAGATAGCATTTAAATTATTAACTATTTTTAATAAAAAAAAATTATAAGGTGATACTTAAAATTCAATAGTTCTTGACTAAAAATATGTAATATGGGTAACTCCTGATCAAATTTTGGATAGCTAATAATCAAAACCTGTATAATTTGAATAGTTTTTTGACCAAAATTTGAATACAAATTTAGTCAAAAGTTATATAAATTATTGTTTTGCTCATATTTAGATATTACGTGACAAATTTATCATTAAAAATCATTAACATTTTAGACGTTGTTTACTTGAGAGACTATATAGAGATATATTCAATATTTTATGGACCAAAATAAAATAAACCTCATACTTTATAAACATCTAATACAATTAACAATTTAAGTTATAATCTTTTGACAAAAAAATTTAAATTTTATTTATATTTAAATTAAGTAATAAAATTATGTATCGAATAATTAATTTTATTTTAATTATTGATCTAGATTTTTTTTTGTCTAAAATAGAATTTCATTATAAGATTACTAGTAATTATTCGTGCTTAAAAGTACTACATTACTCATAAAAAATAACAAATATTTGTTCATAAGTAAGGATAATGTATAATACAATTTCAACAATATAACGATCAAATTAACATTGTTCAATTTGCATGCAAAACATATATAATAAAACATTTATATAACGAAAGACATGCTACAACTACTACAAAACATATGAGAAAATATAATTATTATTGATCAGACATCTACGAATTTAACATTTTTAATAAATTTTATCTCAAATTTCAAAAACAAATTAATTATTGATTTTTCTGTAGGTTTCTACCTCATAACATTATCTCTGCATCATTTTCCCAATATGAATTTCGTATAACTTTTGTGAGGAAATCATTCAAAAGTTTCAAAGGAATTCTCGTAAATGTAAAAAAATTTATTGAGAAATTAAAATCAATTTTTTTATTTGAATTCAACTTGAATATTCATAAAATTCAATCAAATTTTAAGTTTAAAGAAAAATTTATACTTTATACTTGACTGTTAAATTCAGTTCAATTCGAATCCTAATTATAAGAAAAAATTTCAGCCACATTTTTTTAATTCACTATATCTTCAATGTCACTCTATCTATTATCAAAAATATCACTGACACCCCTTCTAATTTATATTTAAACATCACTAACATACCTTGCCACTAAACCATCATTTTCAATAAAAAAATATTAATCTAAAATACCAAAAATATCCTTACATAAATCCCAAAATAATATTTCTATATAAAATTTTATTAAAATCCCAACTAATTAAATTTTATTTTTTTACATATTAAAATTCCAGTTGATTAAAATTTAATTTTCTATATATTAAAATTTGAACCAATTAAAATTTGATTCGAACTGATTAAATTTTTTTTTTACTTATTAAAATTTGAGCCTATTAAAATTTATTTTTTACGTATTAAAATTCAAGTCGATTTGAGTTATGCCCAAGTTGTTAGCGTTGATTAAAATTCATTTTCAAGTCAATTAAAATTTATATTTTTTCACTTATTAAAATTCGTGCCAATTAAAATTCAATTCATTAAAATTTGAGTCAATTAAAATTTATAATGTTTTGTGTGTTAAAATTTGTGCCGATTAAACTTTAATGTGAGTTGCTAAAATTTGATTTGAGTTGATTAAAAATAATTTTTAATTGGCTCAACTAGAATTTTAATCTGCTCAAATTTTAATATGTAAAAAAATATAATTTTTACTCAAATTTTAGTACGTAAAAAAAATTTAAAAATAGAAGGGGTCTCATTAAAAATATACTTATCTAGAGAAGGTATGAATAAAGTTTTCCTCAAATATATCATTAGTAATTTACTAAAATTGCATTCTAGTTGGCATTTTTAATCTGACAAGGAGTGTCAGTGAAGATTCAAAAAATAAAGAGGGTGTCTTTAATGATATGATAAACTAGAAAATGTGCAGTTGAAATTTTCTCTAATTATAATTAAGTCAAATCAAGAATTGAATTTAAGTTTGACTCAATTAACACCTATCTTAAATTTACATATTAATTATTATATATTCCCGTTTACAATGACATTATTTTTTTTAATTTAATTATTCTTTATTATTTCAGAATTAATTTCAATTTGACTTCAACTTGAATACTCAAAAAAATCAAGAAAAATTAAGTTTAAGCAATAATATATATTTTATACTTGACAATCAAATTCAACTCAATTCAATTCAAATCTTAATCATAATCACTTTGAACTAATAATCGAGTAAAATGAAAAAATTCTTGTAATTTTCTGGTGGGAAAAATTTTTGGAGGAGGAGTTTTTATCGTTTGAGCAATAATCTTAAAATAATTTGAGACGCAAAAAACTTAGGATAAACAATGGTAGCCTCCTTATATATATATATATATATATATTATTTACCTATTATACCATTCGAATATTATAATATTTTTATTTCACTATGAAATATGACTTATATGATAATCATTCGACTCATTTCACGCAAATAATCTATATTTAAGGTCAATTTATTTATTTAAAAATTTTAAAAATAATTTTTAATTATATAGAATCATATTTAACGACCTAATTAATGTTATAGCAATTAATTTTTATATTGGTCGTCACAATATGTGAGAGGAAGAAAGAGCTAATAGAGAGAGATATTTATATAGATATACCACAAATTACATATATATTATTCGTTTACTATACCATTTAAATATTATAGTATTTTTATTTCAATACGAAATATGATCTATATTATAATCATTCGATTCGTTTTCAATTAAAGAATATGTATTTAATGTCTATTTGTTTATTTAAATTTTTTAAAAATAAATTTTAATTATATAAAATTATAATTAACGACCTAATTAATGTGTNAGTATTTTTATTTCAATACGAAATATGATCTATATTATAATCATTCGATTCGTTTTCAATTAAAGAATATGTATTTAATGTCTATTTGTTTATTTAAATTTTCTAAAAATAATATTTAATTATATAAAATTATAATTAACGACCTAATTAATGTGTTATCGATTAATTTTTATACTGGTCATCACAATGCGTAAGAGGGAGAGAAAATTGATTAAGAGAGACGTGTGAGCTCTATTAACATCAAATAGTATGAGATAAAAAGGGAGGGGGTTATAAGAGGAAAAAAAAGTCATAGAATTTAAAAAGGAATTAAAGCACTGTTCAAAAAATTAGGGGAAAAATATTTGTATTAAGACTGTCGGATTAATAATTTCTTAAAACGATTTGAGCCGTGAAAAGTCCAAAACAAATAATATAATTNATAAAAAGGGAGGGGGTTATAAGAGGAAAAAAAAGTCATAGAATTTAAAAAGGAATGAAAGCATTGTTCAAAAAATTAGGGGAAAAAATTTCGTATTAAGACTGTCGGATTAATAATTTCTTAAAATGATTTGAGCCGTGAAAAGTTCAAAACAAATAATCTAACTATTTTATTATATAGATAGTTTTTGAGTATTCACATATCTAATTATATTTAGATTTATCACATTTTTTTTGAATGTACAAAATAAAAAAACTTAATCTTTTGGGGTATGAAGTGAGATTCTTTATTTTTAATAGGCATAAATATGAATTAGGCGCAAAAAAGGTATCTAGGTTAAGCATAAGTGGGGCAAAGTCGAAATGGATGCGTAATCAAAGGGAACCCGCTTCCCAAACACACCAAACTATTCCCACTGTGTGTGCAGACTGGAGACTGTAGTTCCTTCTTCTTCTTCCTCCTCCTCCTCTGCTGATGGTCCAGTGATCCAATCGACTCAGCCATCCGGGTAGTATCTCTCCACTCAATAACCCAATATATTTACATAATTCGTATTTCGAACCACTCCCTGTCTTTCAGATCTCGTGAACCCCCCCTCTCTTTCTCACGCACACACACACACACAGATTTGCTGATTCACAAATGGAGTATCGAAGAATCAAAGATCAGGTTCTATTTTGGTCTTTACCTTTCAGTCTACCTACAATAACATCCCCCCCCCAACCCCGAGTAAATATGACATTATGATGAGCTGCCAATCGTGTCACTTAGCTGGGCGAGTATTCAGTTCGATTATGTGAAGCCTCATATCGGTATTCAAGATGTCGTTCTAGATTTTTTTTTTAATTCAAGTAGAAACCCAACACATTCCATGCGTTTCTTGTTGGAATCGTGTGCAAATTTCCTCTTGTTTTAAAATCTTTCTGTTTCTCATTTTACTTCCTGTCGTCTATCATGTCCTTTATGCATTGATGAACTAAACTTAGCTGCACGTATTGATTTGTAGTAGTTTGTATAATTGTACCATTTCTGCTTTTGAATGCTTGAAATTACTTCAATTGCTGTCAACTGGCTCCTCATATTTCCATTGATATATCCAACTTGCAGGATAAAGATGGGGATGCTGTTGGCAACGATATAGAGAGCTTACCTGGAAAAGGTCTTTCAGGTGGTATGATTTTATTGAAAGCTCACTTTGAACTCATGCAGCACCCTTTGTGCAACCCTGATATTAATGAGGGCATCATGGACCAATATGCATTTGTCTCCTCCTCATACTTGTTATTCATTTTGCAGTTCCTGCAAGTGGAAGCCCAAGTGACCGATCTAAGTGGAAGCGCAAGTATGACTGGTCTTTCAATTCTAATGGTATCATTCTGCATTCAAATGAAACCAATTAAAGAGAAGATTCTCATTGTTTTTTCTATTTTTTTCGATTGCTATAGGTCAATCGTTACACTTGCACTGACTGTTCTTACGAGTTCACAAGCAATACTAATTGTTTGGTCCAAGAGAGCTGGAAAGTACGAGTATAGTGTTACCACTGCAAATTTTTTGGTGAGGAAATAATATTCTCAACTTGACAAGAATGATGAGCATGATGACACTGAGTGGCAGCTACACAGCATGCTCAAATTTTAAGCGTGGTTAAGGTTTTATATGATTACATTTCAGAGTTAATATTCAGTTCCNGAATGATGAGCATGATGACACTGAGTGGCAGCTACACAGCATGCTCAAATTTTAAGTGTGGTTAAGGTTTTATATGATTACATTTCAGAGTTAATATTCAGTTCCCGTCTCTTGAATTTAGGTAGAGGCTTTGAAATGTGCACTATCACTTGCTGCCTTGGCAAGAATCTGGAGACATGAGGGTGTCACTGAAGATAACAGGTTTCTTCATTCTATTTTCCCTATTTTCTGTTTTTTTTACTCTGCATGTGGGGAATAACAATTAACAGAATAATGCTATTCACACCAAGATCATTCACCAGAATTCCCTCACCTAGGTGGGAGTGGGCTGAGTTGCATTGCTGCAAATTACACGAGTTGCCAAAGTTGAATGTAGTATGCTTTGTCTATATTGCTCTTTTTATCTATATGTTGTGTATGCAGAGTTTTTTTTGTCTCTATAGCCTTCAAGACATTACATTTTTACCCATAAGCAGTGTAGCAATTTAATGATTTATATGAAATCTGAGATCAATATGGACAAAGTATATGTTGCCATCATGCAGGGCCCAATGGACCTTTATTGTAGCATAATTGACAATTATTCAAATAGCGACGAATTTAGACTCAATTTCCTCAGTTATACCTTAGATTTTTTTTTCAAGATAGAAGTTGTATCTTGTTTGAATCCGATCTTAGGGTAATTTCAATTGCCATTGCAAAAAAACTCCACTTGTTTTTGTGTTTTCATTTGGAGATGGGGGTTTTGCTTTCATGGTCTTCAGTTTTTGGGTGACTACCTCTCATGTTTTTGTGTCTTCTTGTGCTATTTCTCATTCTATTTTGAATTATCTCTGTCTCACTCTCTCTCAAAGCCTCCTAAATGTACATGAAACATGAATACAAATAAGATATGATGCACTATGACGACAAGTTGGTGCGAAAAATTATGAGAAGATATGATTCATCTGAGTGAAGGATAAGAAAGTGAACTAGTACTTAGTAATAAAGTAGTCCATAAGGCATAAGGGAAGGAATGACAAATATGTTCCATGGGAAATTGAATTGGGAGTTGGTGCACAAATTTGGTACAATTTACTATCAGCATTATCCATTTTATCCTCTTTAAGTAAGACCCCAAATACCTCAATGTTCTACTAGAATGCTTGTTTGAATTTGAAACATTCGTTGGAGATTATGGATATCTATAAGAAGTATTGGATGCATGCCTTGGAGCCTTTGAGGGGGTACTAATGTTTGATATTTATATGGTAATGATGTAGTCTCCTCATTGAAATTTATGTTCTACTTGGCTCCATGTGTAGACATATACCAAGTAAAGAAAGTCATTTCATTTCCAAATGCGTCCTCATTCTCAATTGTATTTATAATGATAATTGTTACTCTTGTCCACGGATTGTCTTTCATGATTACACACGTGAGATGAGACACTATTTGGGGGGGGGGGGTAAATAGGTTAATTTCAATTTCGATTGAACAAACATCAAATTATAACGTAAAATACCACAGTTACCTTTTTCTCAAATTAATTAATCAATTAACAATTGAGAACCCTTTCAACAAGAACAACCCATAAAACCCATTATAATTGGTGTGATGAATTTGTCAATTTTACTAAGTAACACTCTATAACTCACGGCGATCCCATCCAAGTCAATCAACCCACTATCAAACCACTATGTATGATAAAATGCTCAATCAATCATATGAACAAACACACAGTGTCTCTGTGTGCCACAAATCACAAATGTGTACAATAAAGTAATAAAGAACACAAACAATATGTTGAAGCGAAAACTCTTCTCGAAAAAAATTACAGGGAACCTCTCGGGGTTCACCAAGACCTAAGTCAATATCCCACAATCAATTTATAGGTACTCGNAATTATGAGAAGATATGATTCATCTGAGTGAAGGATAAGAAAGTGAACTAGTACTTAGTAATAAAGTAGTCCATAAGGCATAAGGGAAGGAATGACAAATATGTTCCATGGGAAATTGAATTGGGAGTTGGTGCACAAATTTGGTACAATTTACTATCAGCATTATCCATTTTATCCTCTTTAAGTAAGACCCCAAATACCTCAATGTTCTACTAGAATGCTTGTTTGAATTTGAAACATTCGTTGGAGATTATGGATATCTATAAGAAGTATTGGATGCATGCCTTGGAGCCTTTGAGGGGGTACTAATGTTTGATATTTATATGGTAATGATGTAGTCTCCTCATTGAAATTTATGTTCTACTTGGCTCCATGTGTAGACATATACCAAGTAAAGAAAGTCATTTCATTTCCAAATGCGTCCTCATTCTCAATTGTATTTATAATGATAATTGTTACTCTTGTCCACGGATTGTCTTTCATGATTACACACGTGAGATGAGACACTATTTGGGGGGGGGGGGTAAATAGGTTAATTTCAATTTCGATTGAACAAACATCAAATTATAACGTAAAATACCACAGTTACCTTTTTCTCAAATTAATTAATCAATTAACAATTGAGAACCCTTTCAACAAGAACAACCCATAAAACCCATTATAATTGGTGTGATGAATTTGTCAATTTTACTAAGTAACACTCTATAACTCACGGCGATCCCATCCAAGTCAATCAACCCACTATCAAACCACTATGTATGATAAAATGCTCAATCAATCATATGAACAAACACACAGTGTCTATGTGTGCCACAAATCACAAATGTGTACAATAAAGTAATAAAGAACACAAACAATTTGTTGAAGCGAAAACTCTTCTCGAAAAAAATTACAGGGAACCTCTCGGGGTTCACCAAGACCTAAGTCAGTATCCCACAATCAATCTATAGGTACTTGNAACATGAATACAAATAAGATATGATGCACTATGACGACAAGTTGGTGCGAAAAATTATGAGAAGATATGATTCATCTGAGTGAAGGATAAGAAAGTGAACTAGTACTTAGTAATAAAGTAGTCCATAAGGCATAAGGGAAGGAATGACAAATATGTTCCATGGGAAATTGAATTGGGAGTTGGTGCACAAATTTGGTACAATTTACTATCAGCATTATCCATTTTATCCTCTTTAAGTAAGACCCCAAATACCTCAATGTTCTACCAGAATGCTTGTTTGAATTTGAAACATTCGTTGGAGATTATGGATATCTATAAGAAGTATTGGATGCATGCCTTGGAGCCTTTGAGGGGGTACTAATGTTTGATATTTATATGGTAATGATGTAGTCTCCTCATTGAAATTTATGTTCTACTTGGCTCCATGTGTAGACATATACCAAGTAAAGAAAGTCATTTCATTTCCAAATGCGTCCTCATTCTCAATTGTATTTATAATGATAATTGTTACTCTTGTCCACGGATTGTCTTTCATGATTACACACGTGAGATGAGACACTATTTGGGGGGGGGGGGTAAATAGGTTAATTTCAATTTCGATTGAACAAACATCAAATTATAACGTAAAATACCACAGTTACCTTTTTCTCAAATTAATTAATCAATTAACAATTGAGAACCCTTTCAACAAGAACAACCCATAAAACCCATTATAATTGGTGTGATGAATTTGTCAATTTTACTAAGTAACACTCTATAACTCACGGCGATCCCATCCAAGTCAATCAACCCACTATCAAACCACTATGTATGATAAAATGCTCAATCAATCATATGAACAAACACACAGTGTCTCTGTGTGCCACAAATCACAAATGTGTACAATAAAGTAATAAAGAACACAAACAATATGTTGAAGCGAAAACTCTTCTCGAAAAAAATTACAGGGAACCTCTCGGGGTTCACCAAGACCTAAGTCAATATCCCACAATCAATTTATAGGTACTCGAATCTTATATCTCAACCAATATCATGGTTAGACACATTTTTTTCAATAGATTTTTCCACTGGATACACCCACCGATATCTTGGATAACATTACTTGAACTCCCTATTGCATAGTTTTTTTAGGCCTCGAACACTCCTAGGATGCACCCTAGAATCTCGGGATGCACACTCTTCAAGTGGGTTTGGTAAAACCAACAATTTCTTCTTCTCCAAGGTGTGAGGTTGAATAGGAATTACAAAAGGGCTTTAGTCTTTGGATTTATGGATCTAAGATTGTTCATAAGCTCTCAAGGTTTTAGATATGCAGAAATTGCTCTCAAGAGGCTTGCTCAATGTTCCTCAAGATTTAGAGGTAAGAAATAAGATCACATGAAAGATACCCTAGCTTAAGCTCGAAATAGAGTTTGTCTTGGAGACCAAGTAAAACCAAAATTCACGAACTACTGCTCGAGTAGTGGGAGAACAGTGAATGAAACAAGAATTCAAACCAAGGCAGTAAAGCAGGGACTACTTGAGTCGTCTCAAGACTACTCGAGTGGTTCAACTTTTCCCCATTTTATTCCCATCAGAGACTGCTTTAGTGATGGCTGGCGAATATAGGGCAGTTTCTATTGGTTTTAAAGACAAAAATTAAGCAAAAATATTTTCCGTTGAGCATTAAAGGGAGTTGTTCAGGTGGTGTCCGATTAAAGACTCAAATCTATATTTTCAAAACACAATTAAGATTTAAACAAATTTTACTTTGAAAAACACATAGGAGTCATTGCCGGATGAATTACCAAAATTATTTTACCTAATCAACCTAAATCTAATAAATTAAACCAAGGGTGTTAGTCTCTAGGTCATTACTTTTGTCCTAAGGAAGAAGGTGCATAAGGAGAATCTCTTGATGTTGCTTGAAGCACAATCTGCTCCCTTCTATTGATGCGTTCAGATTCTTTACTTTGCAGCATCATGACCAATGTAATAAGTTGAGATTTGCAAAAAAACTTCACAAAATTAGTCAATAATAAACATGATCCTATCAGTATTTTTTCATGTCACGTTCTCCATACATTTTCTGAACTTTGAAAGAAGCCACCAAAGGAACATTTACCGTTTTAGGTTGTACTTATTACTAATCTAGGATATTCCTCTATCAGCTAGTGACTAGTTATTATATCCTGCTTCTTTGAAAGAGTTTACGCTGCTAAAACCTTGCTCAAATTTTCATTTTTACTTATTTTACAATCCTTAAGATCAAGTAAATGTGATATTTTCTGTCTCATTCTTATATGTGCTCTGTTACTGTTAGGTTGAGTACAACATTCGATGAAGTTAGTGTTTACCCTATACCTGCAGCACTTTATCTTGTCAAGAATTTACTTCAGGTAGGTTTTAATTCTTTCTTGTTCTTGTCACAGGTAGTTAGCTCTAGCCTTCATCTTTTCTTAAACTTGCCTATATGTGCAGTATTACATCTTTGCATATGTGGATGCTCCCGGGTACCAGATACTGAAAAACCTGAACATTATCAGCACAGGAGTGTTATATCGAATTATTCTCAAGAAAAAGTAAGTGATTCCACCATTAGTTTGGGGATATCCACATTGTGCATTGAAGTTTGAATAGTAGAGAGCCCTCTAAGAATTTATTTGACCATAGTTGGTGGTTTAAAGTGCATGAATCAAGGCATGGACCGAGCTATCTTATTATGTCGTTAATTCAACAGTGGACAACAAAGTTTGCTACTATTTTGATGTCATACAACAATCTTTAGTGAATATCATTACTTACTCAGGCAGAAACACTCAACCAAACAAGATGCTTATCATGCATTGTCCTCTAATGATTTTCTTTCAGGTTAAGCGAAACTCAGTGGGCTGCTTTCATCCTATTGTGTGCAGGGTGCACCACAGCACAACTAAATTCTTCGTAAGAGTGATCATGACCATCTCTTTAATTACATTTTGTGGTGTTCCAAATTTTATTGATTTAGGGTTTGTCTAAGATGCATTGTCGTTGGTGGAGCATTCAGCTCAAATTCAATTGGCAATGGGTTGGAAAAACCTTTAAACATATAAACCAACTTTGGTAGCCCTAATATGTCAATGACTCAATGTAGGATACAAGCTCTTCATTCCCTTCCTCACGTGTGATCCAAACTCACTGTGGGCATACAACGAAACCGAAATGAGCAGACAAATATACAGAGAAATGCAAATGGGTAATAAACTTGGTCCACTGATTTCTTAAGGCCCATCTCTGATTCTATGTTAAAGCATCTAACCCCAAAACCATTTGTTTGACGATGAAAAAGAGGACCACATGTTACTAGTTTGGGAGGTGTTAATTTATTGATATGACATGAGATTTAGTATCTTAAGAGAGCTTGTATCCCACATCGAATGACTAGGGTCCCCTTAAGGTTGGTTTATATGGTTGAAAAGCCTCCATACTCATTTCCAGTTGATTTAGGGTTGGATTTCTGTAACATGGTTTACAGCTAAAGATTGGGGGGGTTTGAACAAGACTTAATTTCATTGATTTGGTAATCAATTCTCCTTGTGTAGGAAGTAGTAAAACCTGTCCCACATTTGTAAAATAACTCCTCTCAAACTAGTAAATTGGTTTTGTAGGCCTCTCCACTCACGTCCAATTGGTGTTTAGATTGATGATTTAGTTTCTTGTGGGTTTAATGTGGGCTGTTTTTTTTATGGACCTTGAAAATTGCCTACACCTACCCATAACCTCTTACAGCCCAGCTTGCAGTCAAATGATGAATGACCTGCTTACACCTAGCAATAACCCTGTGGAGATTCCCATAATTTATTTTTTTTTCCATTTATCTGTGTACGAGACAAGAGGAATGTTGTCATTCTCTTTCTAAGTTCATTTTTTTAAGGGTTTCATTTGTGCTTAATGCTCATCCTTGCACCATGACCTTGTGATGGGGATCATATAGGAATTGGATAGATATTTTAGATTAATTATGAGAGTAATTTGGATACTTTTAGTATTTATCTTTTAAGTAATTTCTTTTAACTTTTATGAGTTTATTTGTCATTATTTATTTGTTTTAGAGTTTTAGCTTCCTTATATAAAAAGATGCGTGTATGGGTTTTATTTAGATTAGACTTTGATTATTATTGAATACTAATATTACTTCCTTCTCAAATTTTTTCTCTTTTCTCATCGTTTTCTTCTTCTCTTCTCATTCTTAATTCTTCCCTTTCTACTCTACATCAATTTGATATCAGAGCTACTACGATCCACATCAATTTGGTATCAGAGCTCAAGTTCGATTTGTACAAATCACCAAAAAAAAAAAAAAATACTGTTCAGCATATACTGTTCATCTCGACTTTGCTTGCACTGTTTTGGTCTCCACTGCTCTGTTATTGCTTTTCTTTCTTTTTGTTTTTGCACTGCTCGTTGCTGGAGCTACTCCTAGAATACCCAGGTGGAGGCCGAGACATTCTAATATCAAGAACTTGCAGCAACGTGTATATAGGGATTCTTAGGTCTCAACCCTAATTCAAAATAGAGGGTTGAGAAAGATTCTAGATCTTGGGGTTTGATCTTTCGATTGAAAGCAAAATCAAAAGAAAAATTTAGGAACCCCTGTTTAGAATTTCTAGAAAATACAAAAAATTGCAGGAAGTTCCAAAATATTAGAAACTTCCCCAGAAGAACCAACAAATTGTAGAAATACCATTCAAAAGCTCCAAAATTGCAGAAAAATCCCCAATAGATCCAAAAAATTGCAAGATCACCCTTAGAAATTCTAAAAAATTGTAGAAACATCACCCCAAAAGTTTCAGAAATTATAGAATTATCCCTAAAAAGTTTCAGAATTTTCTCTTAATTATAGTATGCATATTCCAATAGAAATTTGAAACTAATACTTTTATTCATTAAAAAATTAGAAAATTTGCAAAGGTTCTACATCATTTGTTAATTACATTCTTAAACTTGTTTTGGTGTCATTCCCTTGTTTCAAGAGTCACTCATGAGTGTGTATGATGCCTCTAATCCACATATTTACTTCAGTTTAAGAGTCTCTCCTTAAGGTCATCATCATAGCGAGTCTAGGTATGTCTACAAGAATTTAACACCTACGACCAAATCAATTAAAGATCCATCAACATTTTGTGGTATTTTGGATCCCAATCAATTCTTGGATTGGTTAGTTAATTTTGAAGAATATTTTGATTGGCATGGCATGTTGGATTCCCATTGCGTCTGTTTTGCTAAATTAATGTTGGAGGGTTCCGCCAAACAGTATTGACAAACAATCCAAAGAAGCCTATACTCCTTAGGAGAATTACCTATCACTTGGGTTGAAATGAGATATAAATTGAAAGAGAAGTATTTGTCTACTTCCTATATGGATCAAATTTATGACCAATGACTCAATTTTAGACAACATTCTTCTAGTGTCTTTGATTACTTTGCCCCAGTCCTATTATCTCATGTACTTGTGTGATATTGTTGAAGAACCTTGGACAATTGATTAGTTTATTCCTGGGTTGAGACAAAAAATTAGAAGGGAGGTGAAACAATATACTTTTAATACGTTAGTTGCAGCCTATCAATATGCTTTAAAGGTTGAGAGATTTCATAAGAAATCTAACTATAGCTTGATGGGTTCTCAATCACAGTTTGCTAAACAACGTGACAAGATACCTTCCAATTTTAATTCCGCTACATATGAGTATCATGATTACTTGAACGATATCTANGGGTTCTCAATCACAGTTTGCTAAACAACGTGACAAGATACCTTCCAATTTTAATTCCGCCACATACGAGTATCATGATTACTTGAACGATATCTATGTTGTTTCTGCATGCTTTCCTAATCCGAATGTGACAAAGGATTTAGATATGCTAGTATCGGATAAAGAGAAAAGTGTTACTCATATTGACTTTCAACTCCCTCATTCAGTTTCATTAGATCAGAGTTTTCCTTTGCACCCACAAGAGTTCATATCGAAAGAAAGTGTGTGAGTCTTTGCTTGTGTCAATTCTTGAACCATTATTGGTCTTGAAAATTGTGGAAAAGTCTGGTAAGTCTACACCTATGCAAGATATTAAGTCAATCGAGTCATTTATTGCAAAATCTACTAGTGACTATTCTGTGTCTACTTGTCTAAGTCATCGTGACTTTGTTACAGATTCTTACCAATCTAAGATTGTTGACTTTATTCCTCTGCCTGCTGCCAAGTGTTCACTTGAGTTTGTACTTAATTATTTTCTGCACCAAGACATTTTTTTTACTCCTTTATCGTTGAAGTCTTGTCCCACTGAATGCTTGTTGTTCAAGTCTGATGAGAATTGTTTTCCNCACTTGAGTTTGTACTTAATTATTTTCTGCACCAAGACATTTTTTTTACTCCTTTATCATTGAAGTCTTGTCCCACTGAATGCTTGTTGTTTAAGTCTGATGAGAATTGTTTTTCTATTCTTGAATTTGGATCTAATACTTATTTGTTTAGTTTTTCATTAAATGTTATTATTAGTCCAGATTTTTATTTGGAGGACATGCTACTTAATCGAGGTATTCCAGAGCCTCCTATTTTATTAGTAGGTGTTCATGCAGATGGAGATTCTTACATTTATCTTGATCGATGGAAAGAAGTTGATGGTTCTTTCATTCTAGATGAGACATTATGTCATCTTCATCCTGCTCTCTTAGAGTACTTCTGCTTTGAAAACTCTCATGAGGAGAGTTTTTCTCAACCGAAGGAGAATAATGGAGATCGTATAGGAATTAGATAGATATTTTAGATTAATCATGAGAGTAATTTGGATACTTTTAGTATTTATTTTTTAAGTAATTTCTTTTAATTTTTGAGAGTTTATTTGTCATTATTTATTTATTCTAGGGTTTTAGTTTCCCTATATAAAAGGATGCATGTAAGGGTTTTATTTAGATTAGACTTCGATTATTATTGAATATTGATATTACTTCCTTCTCAAATTCTCTTTTTTCATTCTGTTCTTCTCTTCTCATCCCTAATTCTTCTCTTGCTAGTCTACATCAATTTGGTATCAGAGCTAACATGATCTATATCACCTTGTTTGTGCAGTTCTGATCATGTCCTTCAGACTCCTTTCCAAGGTTGGGTAATGGCTATTGTAAGTTTTGAGCTTCTGAGGCTGTCTATTAAGTTTAAAAACTTAAGAATTGACTCTTCCCAAAGATTATACTTCTCAATGTGATGGTCAGTTTTACTTTGCAGGTCATGGCACTTCTAAGCGGTATTGCAGGAGTGTACACCGAGGTAAATGCTTTGGCATGTATTCTGCTGTTTAGTGGTTTGGAACTGTTCAGAGTAAAAGCATAATTTAGTGCTCAGAGGTGTTCAAGAGCCAATAGAATTTTATCTGGATTTTGTTGATTTTGGGAAGCTAACAATCTGTTAACATTCCCTTGAGAGGATCTTGGTTGCCACCTCGCAGGAAATTGTGAATTATTTGTGAGGTTGCTTCTGCATTCTGCAGGCTATAATTAAAAGACGGCCTTCAAGGAACATAAATGTACAGAACTTCTGGTTGTATGTCTTTGGGATGGGCTTCAATGCTATTGCAATAGTTATTCAAGACTTCGATGCTGTCATGAACAAGTAATTTGAGATTGCTTTCCCCTTCAATTTGTATTCCTATGGTTGTCTACGATGATTTCTAGAAGGTCTAGTTTGGCCAGCATGCCTAGTATCAAACTTAAGAGGTTCCTACAGCTTATATGGTTGTTACAGCATTATGAAAGAAATGTTCAATGCAATCGTTGGCGTGTCAGTTGGGATCCTTATTAGTTGGATTTGAATTTTTTTTTCCTCTCAATACATAAATTTCTCTATTGATTTCCATCAGAGTGTATACTGGACTCAAATGCTTTATTATTCAAAAGTCAAAACCTTTAATCTAAGAAAATAGCAGGATTTAAAATGTGGTCCATTCCTCTAAGTTAAAAAATATTTTTTTTTCTCTTTTAAGTAGGATTACTTGTTTCACCTTTTTTGCATTACTTATTCAGCTTGTAGAGCAGGTTCAGTGCAAGATTTGTAAAAATTGCACGCATTATAACTTATTATGAAGTACATTGTGGTTGTAATGGCATCAAGATGTTTCATCTCATTGCGAGTCAATCTTCCCCTTTTTCAGGGGTTTCTTCCATGGATACTCATTAATTACCGTTCTCATGATTCTCAACCATGCGTTAAGGTATTTTGTTTCTTCTTTGACCTTTCTGGATTGATGTTAGTGGCAGAATGTTTGTTCTTAGTTAAAAAAACTAATCTATGTTTGTTCTCTTCCTTAAGTTTACCTGTTCTTAAATGTGCATATAAATTTGTCTGGACCTTTCCCTAGCTTCACATAATTTGTTGGGTATGCAGCGGGCTTGCTGTATCAATGGTCATGAAGTATGCTGACAATATTGTGAAGGTAAGACTGGCAAAATATATTTGTATTTCTACTATTGCTGGATCAGCATGGGAATTATTTTTTTAACTTGTTTCTTCTCTGACTGTATTGAACTTGAGTGAATATAGCCACCAAGTGGCACAATTATTGGTGGTGCACATTATAGCTTCAAATTCTTAATGTGATCTTACAAATCTTTCTACTTTGCTCGATCTGCATTTGACTTGCAACTCCAACACTGCATGGTTCTACTTCACCTATCGTTTTGTTTTGTCCATGATTGTTGTTATAAATAATTATTTTTTTGTTACTTCAAAGAGCATGATGGTGGGAAATCTTTTTGGTTGCCTGGTCAAATCTGTCGGTCTATATTTCTGTATCACTACACACAAGGATCAAAATTTTGTTTCAGCGCATAATTTTATTCAGTTTGAAACTGAAATATGAAATATTATTGAATTGCTTCGGAAACAAAGAAAATATAGAATTTCGTTTCCGAAACATTCCAAAATATATTGAAGCACCTCGAACATACTAATTTTGATATTGAAATATTGATTGGTATCCATGCCAAACATTTCATTTGTTTTGTGGAAACAAAATGAAATTTTGATCCTTGTACACCCCAGAATAAAAAAACCATGTTCTTGTTCACTTGCTGGCTACTTAATTAGTTATTCATGTATTAAAATCAGCAAAAAGACATTGACATAGGTGTTCAGTTATATATCTCTTTCTGCCAGCCGTCTAAAACTCTGAGGTCTCTTGAACCGGTGTTTCACCATCTTCAAAGATAATGACTTCGTTGTTTGATTCTTCTTTAACATATCAAATGTGTGCTTATGCTGTGTAAAGCATCTGATTAGTATCTTATTACCTGCCAAACGTTTTGCAGGTGTATTCTACTTCAGTGGCATTACTGCTGACCGCTGTTGTTTCTGTGTTTCTATTTGGATTTCATCTCTCCCTTGCCTTCTTCCTTGGCTCCACGTAAGTACCGTCTAGCTATGTCGTGTTTTGGACAACCCATCCATTCCTTATATCTGAACCGCCATGTCTTTATTTACAGCGTTGTTTCTGTCTCAATATATCTACACTCCATTGGGAAGCCACAGAGATAGTGATGCCTCCCACCTTCTGAGTCCAGTTGAGTTGCCAGTGTAAAGGCTAATGCTTTTGAATTATTTTCTTCTAATATTCTTTTTCCATTTGATTTCTTAAAATCATCAATTCTGATAACATGTAATTAATATTTTTTTGTGGGGCTTTAGTAGCTGTGCCACAATTAGATTAAATCCTAGTGAGGTGGGTGATGATCCCTTACCTCATTCACTGGATTTGCTCATCTCCTCTTACCTATGATAGAATGAAATCCCTTTTGTCAGAGAGGATCGAATTACACTCCCCCCCCCCCTGTTATGTGGAATGGCTGTGTGCACCCTTTCCAAATCTCTCTTCCTCTTTCTGAAGCCTCATTATCTTCTGGTCTGGGGTTGTTCACCGGATGATTTGACTGGGTGGGAAAATTCATTGATCTGTTTGAATCATGTGGAGCAGAGGTTGATCCTGGTGTTGCAACTGTTAGATATAGGACATCAAATGGCTTGGATAACATCATTGTGAAGAACTACAGGGGTCACAAAATGGGGAGAATGTAAGTACACAAAGGGTGACGGAAACAATGGGAAAACCTGAAGGACTGTGGTGTCAACAAGATGGCTTTTTACCCTATCAAAAATAAGTTCCTGTCATTTTTTGTTTCCTTTTTTATGAGGTGGTATCATTGCTTGATGAAGCTTAATAGTCTAGTATTACACAATCCTGCACCAATTACACAGGAAACTAAGAAACATATTAAGCTCAGATTACAATGAAGAAAACTGCAAGAAGTTACTGCTCAATATTGAAACCACCTGAGCTAAACAAGTAAACAGTTCTTAATTGAAGAATNACTGAAGGACTGTGGTGTCAACAAGATGGCTTTTTACCCTATCAACACAGGAAACTAAGAAACATATTAAGCTCAGATTACAATGAAGAAAACTGCAAGAAGTTCCTGCTCAATATTGAAACCACCTGAGCTAAACAAGTAAACAGTTCTTAATTGAAGAATGACAAAGCACGCACACATTCCCAATGCCCATCAAGAATTCAAATTGTATTTTGAGGAGGGAAAACTGCAATTTCAACTGATTTTTGCAATTTGTACCGATAACTCCACAATTACTTAGCACGTCATTCTATACCTGTTGATATGCTCAAATGCAAACAATTAGGTTGTTGATGCTGACTAGAATATATTTTTAACTCAAATTTTCATTGTACTTGAAGACACAGTCATACAGTCTTCCTCCGAGGAACTGAGCAACCTCTGGGTGCTTCACCTGTAGGAAGTGGCGGAAAAGAGAAGGGGGGAGAACAAGACAAAAAATGAATTAATATAGACACTAATCAAGCAATGCCTTGGGAAAAGGAAACATGATTAATGTAGTTAAGTGTTACCATCCCAATCTTGAGTGAATCGCATTTCAATTGAGCATAGAGATTTGTCTCTATTCCACGGCCCTGACAAACAGACATGAAGGCCATTATATAGGTAATGCGTGAACTAACAAATTATAAGTGATTTTGAAAATCCCCAACACAAATAGTTGAAAATTACACCAAAATTTTCTTATTTATTGTAGGCAATGATCTAACTTTGCATTGTTTCCAATCAAACACCCAAAACTATAGGAACCAAAAATGAATGAGGGATCAATTATCAAAATTCTCATGTTTCGGAATGTATCGGGATGTTTCATAATCGACATTCCAATACATTTTTTTTTTGTTTCCATTCTAGATGCTAACAGCTAAATTAAAACCTAAAAACCATANTCATTTTTTTTTTTGTTTCCATTCTAGATGCTAACAGCTAAATTAAAACCTAAAAACCATAGTAGACACAAATCTACATGTTATTGTTATCTTATTCTTACTTTCCAATCACCCCATTTTCCAAGAATGAATACATCAATTCCCAAAATCTGTGCGCAGGAATGTAATAAGCCACCAGATATTCCTTGTTTCAAACTTGCCACTAAGTTCACCTTTGTTGATCAATGCAGCCACAATATAGGCAGCCCAGCTTTTGAGAGGTAGAGTAACACCATTACTAGTACATGAAGAATAAATGAAAGACATGGAAACTGCAACAAGGAACAGTGGCACGAAAAATTATGGGGAGCAAGGGGTTTTAAATTAACCGGCTATCCTAAGGAGAAACAATACTTTCATGAAGCTTGGAAAAAAAATTGTCGGAAACCTTAAATTCAAGAGATTTGCCAACCCCATTCAATTGCACAGGAAACACTAACTCATAAGAAATCTCGAATCTGCAGCTATTTCAAATTGTACAGTTGTCCTTAATTACTTCCCTTTCCTCTCATGTTGCCCTGTTGTTATGCCTCATGATTCACGAGCCCCTAAAAACTAAAAGAAGAGGTTTCTAATGAAGTGGGAGACAGAGAGAAACAATGCTTCAAAGTTGAAAACTGCACGGGAAAAATTACATCAACAGGTTTGCCAACATCTTAAACACCATTTGATTGAACAGAAAATGGAGTTTCAATTAAAATGTTTTGCAATCTTCTTCCTTCAGTTTTTCTTCTTTTTTCACAATCCCAAAATGACCGTTCTATTGAAAATTGTTTTGCAATCTTCTTCATACTCTTGTGATATGTCACAAGAAAAAAAACACAGAAAATGTTATCCACTTAAAGTCTTCTTAAAAATTTTAATAAGATTCCAATCAAACTTCCTAGATATCAGTTTCTAAGAAAAAGAAATTCACAAAGCACAAGGACAAAATCTCCATATTCGTAATTCAAACCTATAAAACACGGATACAGATACGATACGAATACGACAAAATATAAAAAAACACTAAAAAAACACAATAAGGATACGACCAGGATACTTATGTAATATTATATTTTTTAAAAATTATTATTATTATATTGGGAAAAATGGGGGGTTTGATCCACTTTTTTAGGCTAATTTGACAAAAAGTCAACTCAAAAACGTTGCTCAAGTTTAAGTCCATTTCGATCTCTATTGTCTAAAATACCCCAGTAGTTACATCAAATTAAAATAAATTTAAAAACTCCTAAATTATATATTCTCTCTCTAAAAAAGTAACATTGAATAGTAACATAAGTCAATAACATTGAACAATATATAAAACAGTAACATGAACATAATAGTGACAAAAAATAGTACTTCATCCGTTCCTAAATATCTGTCATTTAAGGTTTTTGCACAGGGATTAAGGAAGCTATTAAATAGCTCTAATATGAGTAAAAAATAATTGCACAAGACTAAAATACCCTTATTCAATACGTATTGGGAAGAAAAAGAATATGAAAAGTACTTAACCTCCACCTAATCTAATGCATTGAAAAGTTAAGGGTAAATTTGAAAAAAAAAATATTAATTATGCTTTGGTTTCATTAAACGACAGATATTATGGAACAAAAAAAATTGTGTAAAACGACAGATATTTAGGAACGGAGGAAGTAATATTTAAAATCAAGGACAGTAACAATGAACAGTAACATGGAGTAACAGTATATACTACCATCCATATCTTTCATTTCAGTAACATGATATAGTAACACATGTGTACCTCATCCTCCTTTTATCAATTAAGAAAAACAGTAATATCATGAAGTAACACCAATAGGTCAGTAACATTATATAGTACCATCTATGCCCCTCATTTCAGTAACATGAAATAGTAACCACAAGTATACCTCATCCTCCTTTCATCAATTAGGAAAAACAGTAACATCATGAAGTAACACCAACAGGTCAGTAACATTATATACTACCATTTATACCCCTCATTTCAGTAACATGAAATACTAACACAAGTATACCTCATCCTCCTTTCATCAATTAGGAAAAACAGTAACATCATGAATTAACGCCAACTGGTCAGTAATATTATATACTACCATCCATATATTATGAGCTTTTTTTTTAGTAACATCACATACTCAAAAACAATAACATGATTTAGATAAATCAGAATCAATTGAAATTAGTACCATGATAACTAACACCTGGGTCTCAAAACAATAACACGAATTAGTAAACATAGGACCAAAACACTATAATTTAAAACAAAAAAATCACTATAATTTAAAACCAAAACAATAACATTTAAAATAAAAAATAGTACCATTTAAAAATTTAAAAATCCCATTACCGAAGAATAGNTCTCATCCTCCTTTCATCAATTAGGAAAAACAGTAACATCATGAAGTAATGCCAACTGGTCAGTAATATTATATACTACCATCCATATATTACGAGCTTTTTTTTTAGTAACATCACATACTCAAAAACAATAACATGATTTAGATAAATCAGAATCAATTGAAATTAGTACCATGATAACTAACACCTGGGTCTCAAAACAATAACACGAATTAGTAAACATAGGACCAAAACACTATAATTTAAAACAAAAAAATCACTATAATTTAAAACCAAAACAATAACATTTAAAATAAAAAATAGTACCATTTAAAAATTTAAAAATCCCATTACCGAAGAATAGTCGCCAGTTTCATCTCCGAAATCTTCTTAACCAAATACCAATTCCCTTGGCCATTGATGCTCACAAGAACCCTTCTTCTCTCGTGTTGGTCACCTTCTAATAGCCTTTGATGTCCCAAATTTTGTCTACATGACATCAATAATAATTGGTTTTTGCTTTCGTGCACAATGACCATTGCTTTCTGCCATCATATCTGAGCTTTTTGGACTAAAATACTACTCAAAACTCTACAATTTCAGCTCTGTGGGGAGCCCAATTAGGTCGTATATACTCATCACGGGGTCGCCAGACATCTATATAATAAGGAGGCGAAGAAACAGATGGCGCTGTCGAAGAACGGCGTTGTCGTCCGATCATCATAGGGAACGAAGGGAGGTTGAAGATTGATTGATGGGAATAGATGTGATGATAGATTAGAAGGATAACAAATGAAGGGTTAGATACAGACAGAATTGTGTGAAGAAGAAGAAGTGAAGGAGAACAGTTCGATTTTTTTGAATTTCAAATCTGAGATTGGGAAGATATAAAATCTGCCATCAGTTGTGGAATTATGATCTCCAAATCAATTTGGAAACTCCTTTTAATGTTAAAACAACCAAATAAGGGTGTTTTAGTAATAAAAAAAGAAAAAGAAAAACTCAGAATTGACTTAACTACCAAATAAGATTACTAATATAGGACTAAATGACACGTATGTTTAAGGATCGGACTTTAAGCCTTATAAGTCTCGTAAATAGGAATGACCCTCAATTATCACTATTATATTTAATGTACTAATTATAATTTATAAAGTAACAAGTGAATCCCACATATATAACAAGTTCCTAATTCAATTTTTCGTTAGTTCCTAATTCAATTTTTCATCAGTTCCTAATTTATATATGATAAACTACAAAACATAATAACTCTCTAATTGAGAAGCCCTAAGAGCAAAGTGCAAATCCTAATTCTAGGTTTGTTCTAGAAACCCTAGTTGCAAAAGAGGAGATATGTAAGCCTTAGTCGTGGGTGGGTACAAAGGAATAGGAAGATGTAGAGAGAATTAGTGCCCTAATCAAACCTGGACATCACAATTTTATTCTGACTCACTCCAACAACATGAACTAGTATTTTTTTTCTTTCCAGTTTTTCACACTTAAACAGAAAACATCTTTGGACAGAAAACGTAGTGGGCAAATTCATAATTGAATATTGGGTTTGTTCACTTCAACTTGTGGATGTTACTACAGGGAAACAAATGGAAGATAATTGGTATAAGTAAACACTCACCATTCCTTCCAAAATAACCAAGTCTGCATCACTGGCCAAGTAGGCAAGCTCTTGCGATACTCTACTAAGATCTATAACCTGCAATAAGACGAAGTTGCATGAGGCCATAATAGTACATCTACGAGAATCAAAATGTTGCAGTGATTCTTAAGATGCTAAAAAGACAAATTCAAGCCATGACATGAATCAAGCAGTTTCCTCTTCTTACCGGCAAATCATTGCCAGAGTTCGCAATCAAAAGATTGGAAGTATCAACGCCAACAAGATGCCCATGTTCATCCTTCAACTGACAAATTAACAAGTAATATGTCAAATTCAATCTAGAAACGGCAATTATCATAAATATCAACATATAATTTTCTACTACCTTCGAAATAATCTCAATTAGTTCAGGGTAAGTTACATCATTGATAGAAGGTAAGTCATTAGCTGCCAACACAACCTGCAACACAAGGGTACCATTTGAGAAATGGAGAGATTATGGAGTCATTTGATGTGGTACTCTCAAAGATGGAGATTAGACCTCCAAAAAATTTAATATTCAGCTAATAAAAAGCATGAAGTAAGGTCATTGGTCCAATGACTAAGTTGACTTGTGGGCTATTTCTACGGCCAAAAAGCACTTTGATTCACTGGGCTCACAATAGTCATCTAGGAAATGATATGGGAACAATAATATGTATGGTNTATTTCTAGGGCCAAAAAGCACTTTGATTCACTGGGCTCACAATAGTCATCTAGGAAATGATATGGGAACAATAATATGTATGGTTAAGGACATGGCTTTTGCATCCAAATCTGCAACTGGTTGAAGTTTGCAAAGTTCTTCTGGAAGTAAGATCATTGCTCAAATGACTAAGTTGACTTGTGGGCTATTTCTGGAGCCAAAAAGCACTTTGATTCACTGGGCTCACAAAAGTCATCTAGAAAATGATACTGGAGCCATAATATGTATGGTTAAGGACATGGGTTTTGCATCCACATCTGCAATTGGTTGAAGCTTGCAAAGTTCTTCAGGATAAAAGAAAGCAATAAAGAGCCAAACGGATGGCCACTTGAAGCTTATCCAGCTGGGCCCCAGTCGTACTACATTCCCAAACAGTATGTCTCTTTGTTGATAGATAATTTAGCTGGGGTTTGCCAGGCCTTGTTCTGTACCTTCTTAGCTTCAGACCCCATGGATGGGCAGTAGAGATAGACCAATTAGGAACATATTCAGAAAATTCTGAAAACGTTTTCTTAAAAAGGATTGACATGTAAACATTTTCTGATGCAAAACAGACACAACATAGCATCTTCAGAGACATTAAATTTAGTTTATACGAAACTAAATTCCCAAAAAATTCCTCAGCATTAAACTGAATTAACAAGTCTTATCTCCTTTCCTGTTCATTGATGTCTAAAAGTTGACCTCTGAAAGTGGTCCGTTTTAAGATGATATAAGATGACCACATAATTCAACCTGCATTAAAGAAAGAAAGAACATGTTCCAGACATCTAACTCTGCACCGAAGTTCCAACTTTAAAAAACCCACAGAAACACAGAATTAGGAAAGTTTATGACAATGAGAGTATTTTTCCATTACTAGAAAAAAAATGAACAATATTTTTCAAACATAGTAATAAGCTGCACAACAGGAAGTAAGAGGTTCTGATGGAAAACCTGTGTCCCATGGCGGAGTAACTCTCTCGTAAATGGCAATATACCCAATATTATGTCAGCACCAGAATTATCCACAAAAATGACAGCCTGTTATGACCCCCAAATGAGCAGGTTAGTGCAGAAAACGAACACATAAGATATCCAATCAGTTTCTTAAATATGTATTAAAGAAGTAAAGTCCATTTGAATGCAAAAGACATATATCATATGAATTACAAGGGGAACTTACCTTTTTCCAAGATTTCCTGCCCCATTTTAATATAAAAGTGTCCAAATCATCAATTACCCAAGGTCGAGAGACAAGATTTTGACAACTAGCGGTAAAGGATATTCCATCCTTTGAGAATAACTCTGCAAGCTTCAAGAAATTGCAGAAAGATGGTAAACATTAAGTAAGTGCTGCTGAAACAGTTGTAATTTGAATACATTCCGCATTTTTTCTTTGATTTACAGGCTGTAGAAGATCCAAATTGTTTGAGCATCCAACCCAAAACCCACCCTCATGTCTACATAATTTTTGGATGTGGATGTCTCTCTTCACACCCTTCCTCACGTGTGACTCAGCCCCCACACGTGGGCTAACCAACTAAACTGAAACAAACTGGCAGATTGGAGCTAAATTGAAACAAACAAATAAACAGACCATGAAATTTAACCGGGTAAGACACTTAGGCCACCAACTACCTTAGGTGCAACTCTCATATCTTGATCGAGCATCCAACCAAAAACCAATTCGTAATGGGTGGAACCCCTCAAATATATAAACCAACCCTCGGTTTACTTATTTTTTGATGTGGTATATCTCTCTTCACAAAGATTATAGGATGTTACATCCTAATAATCACTGTAAGAGACATTTTTCAAAATTCCAAACTGTTTCTAAAACTTCAAAGTATACAAGGCCCCCCTATTACTTTAGTCTTTGCATTCTTCATAAAAATGTGAGGCCTGTTGGAGACATTGGGATCAGAGGGTTAAAGGCTTCCAACACAAAAACAATTGAAAATAGGTGAAGAGATTGCTCAATCATGTACCAAATCTGAGTCACCCAAATATTTCAATCTGGTATACAAGCACGCACAGACGTTTATGATGCATTCACAAACACGTCTGCCGAGACCTTGGTAAATGTGACACACCTAACTATGGAGATATTGTATAGGATCTACTTTCATGAATTGAAGGTCTATTCAGGCTTCAAAAAACATCACCTCTGACAGAGATCTTCTAGTTCATAAGTCTCCAATGATCGATATTCTACCAGTGAGATCACAATGAATGAAGAAATGTATTAAAAAAGGATGCTATACAAAAATAATAGTGATAGTACCATATCAATTATGTCATGTCGATAGATAGCACCTAATTAAGCTTCAACTGGGACACCAAATGACAGATTGAAAAATTTAAAAGCTAAATAATCTTAACTCCCAAATTTAATTAACGTAGAGCATGACATACCTGTGCAGAACCAAGATCAAATACGTTCCCTGCAAATATTCCTCTAACCAGATTCTCAACACGCTTGGCATCATCCTCTATNATTAACGTAGAGCATGACATACCTGTGCAGAACCAAGATCAAATATGTTCCCTGCAAATATTCCTCTAACCAGATTCTCAACACGCTTGGCATCATCCTCTATAGCATCATTAAGATGAACTACATCCTCAAATAAGGATATTGCCTTGGTGTTTTCTTCATCCTGGTGCATTTGTCCACAAAAAAGGGTTCTTCAATCAACCAGATTTCATGTTTTTATCAGGAAAACGAAAGATGAAAAACAAATGAAAACTGCTCACAGTGGAAACTGATGACCAGGGTTTGGACCCAATACAGGGAGAGAGAGAGGGGAGCATGGAGAGGGACCAATGCTGTAATCACCCCCCTTTACCCACCAACCCACCTTACTTTTGGGGATAATTTATTTCCACACAAAAATGTGTTTGATTGTCGGTTTGACATATTCTCTATGATTTCACCCATGTCGATGACACATATTTTGTAGCATCTACTTGATAATTAAAATCATTGGGATGCTTCTTTAATGATTGCAATGAACTAAAATCAGCTCACCTTAACCTTCTTGAATATATCTTTGAATCCCACTTCCCTAAGGACTTGCTCACGAAGCTGACAAAGAAGCTAATATAATCCAGATAAAGAATACATACTCAGATTCTTCATGATTATATGAACCCATCCGTTACTTAAAAAGAGCAACAGTCAACGAAGCTATTTAGGAAAAGATGGAGTTTAACTCACAGTGCAATCTGGTGGCCCACCGTGACTTTCAGGATCTTTCTTAAAATCCTCCAGTATTTCAGCATACCTTTCAGAGACAAGCACACACAAACAACACAGTCAAAAGGTTAACTATGAATCTATGACCAACAAATTGAGGAGGAAAAAGGAAGTGAATATCGATTCCTTTACAACAGGGGAGCAATTCCAAAGTGTTGAGGACTGTACACATGAAACTAGGGCCAAATTGTAATCCTCTTGGTTAAAATATGAGTCCACTTAAAAGTATGGCAAGATAGAAATTCTAGGTTCGGTCCAAAGTTGTTGTCATTCTGCCAAAGCCGAAATAATGGACTGAGTCTGAATGTTACCCAGCATAGTTCTTTCCTCAAAAATAGGGCGAAGTCTGGATTTAAAAAGGATCGCCTGAGCATGGTAGAGAGCTAAATTTTGATTATTGATTCTACTATAGAGCCAAAGGTCATGCCCTTAAATGTTGAAAAACCCAGATGACTCAGCGTACTATGATAGAAGTCCTTAAGCCCGTATATGATATTACCACCAAGCTTATATTCGAAGCACTTAGGTGGATCCGATAACATGAGTTTGCCATGCACAGATGTATACTATATACTTAGTGTTGAGAAGATGAGGAAGAAGTTTGAATGCAAGAGGTTAATTATTGTGACCATGCACGTCCAAAGACTAATAATTTCAGATTAACACTACTTACAGTTCACATCCCATCTTCAGCTTTCAATCACAGAATAACACATGAAACTAATTACTCATGTCCTCTGCTTATATGCATAGAATACAATAGTGATACTATTTTCTTTACTTATGTGATGGGAAAGAAAATTATTTAACTGGTTTACTTGAATATCTATGTCATGATGGGTATGCCTGCTCCTAATGTTTTTTGGAACTTTCATAAGGCTAGGAATGGACTTTGATTTAAATTCAGTTGAAAATTTCAAATCCTTTCTCAACTCTTTGAAATTAACTCAAAGCCAATTCAATAGTCCAAATTAATAAGGCGGTCTTATTCCAACACCACGTAAACAATACCAATTCATCAGTTTATAAAACTAAAGAATCAAATACAGATGCAAGAACATCGCCTCTCCCAAGGTTATAGCATATGCAGGGAAGGCTCAACAATATTTGAGGCCTAAAGCAAAGGTCAATGATATTTTTATATTTTTTTAATAATAATTTAATTTTTTAACTTAAAATCTATTATTTTTACTTTTCGATGAGATTTGAATTACTAATTTTTTTATTTAAATTTTGCTAATATATTTTTTTAATTAATAATATGACATTTTATCATAAATATTTATAGGAATAAAATTAATTTCTTCATTAATATTTTTTTGTTCTTTGTCTCAGATTTTGGGAAAGCCGAGACATATGAGTTGAACTGAGATATCGCCGATATCTGTTCAAAGCGGCATTTTTCTGATTCGCATATCGTTATCGTATCGAGAGTGGTCGAGTCGTATTGGACTTGGTCGATACCTAGAACCATGTGCCAGCTCCTAATGTTTTTTAGAACTTTCATAAGGTTAGGAATGAACTTTGATTTAAATTCAGTTGAAATCTTTAAATCCCTTCTCAACTCTTTGAAATTAACTCAAAATCAATTCAATAGTCCAAATTAATAAGGCGGTCTTATTCCAACACTGCGTTAACAATACCAATTCATCAGTTTATAAAACTGAAGAATCAAATACAGACGCAAGAACATCGCCTCTCCCAAGGTTATAGCATATGCAGGGGTGGCTCAACAATATTTGAGGCCTAAAACAACGGCCAATGATATTTTTATAATAATAATTTAATTTTTTAACTTAAAATCTATTATTTTTACTTTTTGATGAGATTTGAAATTACTAATTTTTTTATTTAAATGTTGCTAATATATTTTTTTAATTAATAATATGACATTTGATCATAAATATTTATAGGAATAAAATTAATTTCTTCATTAATATTTTTTTGTTCTTTGTCTCAAATTTTGGGACGGCCGAGACATACGAGTTGAACCGAGATATCGCCGATATCTGTTCAAAGCGTCATTTTCCTGATTCGCATACCGTTATCGTATCGAGAGTGGTCGAGTCGTATCGGACTAGGTCGATACCTAGAACCTGTGCTTGCTTCTAATGTTCTTTAAAATTTTCATAAGACTAGGAATGGACTTTGATTTAAATTCAGTTGAAAACTTCAAATTCCTTCTCAACTCTTTGAAATTAACTCAAAGCCAATTCAATAAGCCAAATTAATAAGGCGGTCTTATTCCAACACCACGTTAACAATACCAATTCATCAGTTTATAAAACTGAGGAATCAAATACAGATGCAAGAACATCGCCTCTCCATAGACTCTCTATACTCTATAGGCTATTAGTGCCACACAGAAGTGCCTGATTTGGAAGCTTCTTGTGCTAATTTCACAAATAAGTAGAAACAGTGTGAAGCGATGGTTTATCATACCTGAACATGAGACCTACTGGAGATAGTGCACTCTGTAGGGGAAGGATAATATGGCTTGTCATGTGATGACATAATTGGCTCACTGTTTGCTATATAACTAGTTTCCTACCGTAGAGTTAACATTAATAATAACTTCAAATTCTCAACCTCCAACCAGATGAATACTGTCCTCTCTTACACAAAGATAACAAATACACAGGGGATTGATCTTAAGGACTGTGGTAAAGACCGTCAAGGTTTGAATCCAGCAAAATGGTACCATGGATTGACAACAAGTACATCAGTCAATGATATGTCAAAAGGCCAGGTTGATTAAAATAAAAATTGATAATAATAGGAATCTTGATATTTAAAATCTTTGGAAAGTTCAAGCAGAAGGATGTGGGAGTGGGTGTGGGTGTGCTGAGTAAAGATGGTAAGGTATAAATAAAGATGTCTATCTGATAATAATCATCCCTATTAGCATAGCCCACAGAAAGGGAAAAAAGAAAAACCCAAAGTTATAGCATATGTTAAAGGAGAAACATTAGGAAAGGCATTTTACAATATACAAGAAGAATTTTACATTAGATACCTTTGAGCAAACTTGTCAGCTCTGATGGGAGCATCAGAAACGGTATCATCACTCTCGGCCCGTTTTCTGCCGCAAAAAGAACAAATAATGGATTGTTATATTACCATATCCTATGAGATGAGGGAGGGCGAGGGCGAGGGCGAGGGCGAGGGCGATAAATCCAAATTCAAGAAGCTCAATGAATGCAAACAATATAAACATAATATTTTTAGGAAAGAAGAAACAAAAGCCATAAAGAAAGAAAGACATAATGAAATCAAAAACCGTGAATTAGGCAGAGAGGTAGGTAGGTTTTGGAACCAAATAGCTAGAGAAAAAAAGAAAGAAATATACCGGAAAGAGGGGATGGAATTGAGGAAGAGATCAATCCAAGAGAGCTCGGTGGTTGTTGGTTTCTTGGGATTGTCCGATGGGAATCTGTAAGGGATGGTGCATGCCCTGTAATTGGATTCGATTGGTGTCATTAGCAAAGGGAATGGCACCATCTCGCAACAGCTCTCCATCTCTCTCTCTCTCTGTCTCTCTCTATGCTATGCTACAAGAGTACTGGAAGTAGTACGAGCTTTTACGCGATCCAGCTCCCTGAAATTTTTATTTACCATGCCGGTCTATTTTGAACTTATTTTTTTTTAAATGTCATTTTAAATAACGTCTTTTCATTTAATAACGATTTTAGCCTTAATACAATTATAATAACTAAGCTATAAAAAGTCACTTAGTTATCTATAAAACGTCTTTTAAAGTGATGCATCTAAAAATATTATTCTAAATGATATTTTTAACTTACTATTTTTATTTACATTGTTAACGACGTTACATGAGATGCGAAACTTGAGAAAAAATCATTTGGAATGACGTCTTTAAAAGTGTCATTTCAAATGAGGATTTGAACGGTATATCAGATCGCTTGAAATTTTCCAAATTACAGCCTAGGTTAAAAATTTTCAAACATTTCAACCCCTCTCAGCTCTCCTCCTCCACCAACCACTCCCAACCAACTTCTTCTTCGTCGAGCTCCAACTATTCAACGACTGNAGAAAGAAATATACCGGAAAGAGGGGATGGAATTGAGGAAGAGATCAATCCAAGAGAGCTCGGTGGTTGTTGGTTTCTTGGGATTGTCCGATGGGAATCTGTAAGGGATGGTGCATGCCCTGTAATTGGATTCGATTGGTGTCATTAGCAAAGGGAATGGCACCATCTCGCAACAGCTCTCCATCTCTCTCTCTCTCTGTCTCTCTCTATGCTATGCTACAAGAGTACTGGAAGTAGTACGAGCTTTTACGCGATCCAGCTCCCTGAAATTTTTATTTACCATGCCGGTCTATTTTGAACTTATTTTTTTTTAAATGTCATTTTAAATAACGTCTTTTCATTTAATAACGATTTTAGCCTTAATACAATTATAATAACTAAGCTATAAAAAGTCACTTAGTTATCTATAAAACGTCTTTTAAAGTGATGCATCTAAAAATATTATTCTAAATGATATTTTTAACTTACTATTTTTATTTACATTGTTAACGACGTTACATGAGATGCGAAACTTGAGAAAAAATCATTTGGAATGACGTCTTTAAAAGTGTCATTTCAAATGAGGATTTGAACGGTATATCAGATCGCTTGAAATTTTCCAAATTACAGCCTAGGTTAAAAATTTTCAAACATTTCAACCCCTCTCAGCTCTCCTCCTCCACCAACCACTCCCAACCAACTTCTTCTTCGTCGAGCTCCAACTATTCAACGACTGTTATCTCCAATGAGCTCCAACCATTATTCATCCAGCGAATCAGCGACTGAGCAGTGAGCATTGTCCATTCTCCATTCCAGACTAAATCGATTTGCCCTAAATCGATCCAGAACACCAACGACTAAGCATCTCCAGTCCACTGAGCTCCATCATGTCTTCCATCCATCAGATCAGAGCTCCATAAGCATTTCCATCNTTTCAAAACAAAAAAATTCAAGGGTATCATTGACAGTTCCTTTTGGTTTGGTTTTCTTGCCTTGCCCAGCCTGTCTCAGTAACTGTTAATTGTTGCTGTTGAAGGAATTAGACTGATACAAGGTAGTTATCATTGGGAATATGCATCCATCATTCTCACCTTTTTTGATATCATCTTCCAACATATATGTAATCCACCAGATAATACACGGATACCTGAACCAAAAAAGGAAGTCTTGGGCACCATTTTTTAAGGATACAGTATTTGGGATCCTTAGCAGAGATTCATTTGGCGAACCTACATTTACATCTTTGACATGATCGTATGCTAGCAAATAGCATCTTACTATGTAGTGCTTAGTTTGATCTAAATGCTTTATGTGTTACATTCTTGCACTCAAATGTTAAGGTAATATTTGGTGATTTGTTTCATTTTATTATTTTGATGTTGTATGCATATGGGACTGGATTATATTTTTGTCACCTATGGAGATATATGGAACTGGATGCATAGAAATGAGGGTTTTTTTTTTGGGTTTTTGGGCTTGTGATTTAATGATGGTGATTATTGAATACAGGTATTGGAGTTGGCTGGGAATGCAGCAAGGGATAACAAGAAGAATTGCATAGTGCCAAGGCACATTCAGCTTGCAGTGAGGGATGATGAGGAGCTTAGCAGGCTTTTGTGTGGATTCTATTTTCCAAATTAGTTGCCGTAGGAAATTTGTACTTTGTCTAGGTGAGAAAATGCTATTGTTTAGTGCCAGAGTTTGATTATTATAGTAATTAACATTGGAATTTTGATATGTATGGTTAATTTGGAAATTCAGAAATTGCAGCAGCCCTTTAATTCATTCAGCACAAACAATATATTCTTTTTTTTTTAGAAAAAGAAATTTTATTCCATGAAACAATGAATTACAAGAAGCAAATGAATTCAAAAATTCTAATTACAAAGAGTTGGCTTTAATCCTTCAAAAAGATTAAAACCAGAAATTTATCAAGCATAGTCCAGCTGCCCAGCCAACAAAACAGCCCATGGCCTAACACACCATAGACTGCTTGCAGACAGAACCCAAAACCTGGACCTGCTATTCCTCCAGCTGCTGAGTGAGCTTCTCTTTACTGTGCTCTATACCCCATAGCTTAGCTCCTGCTCCATTGCTCAAAGCTCAGCGCTCAGCAGCAACATCACAGTCCTAGATGACATACTCATTAGGCATATTATATAACAAAAATGTCAAGTGTCAAGGCCAAATCATCAAGCTTGGAGGGCACAATAGCTTATTTTGATTCTATCTGCATTTGTTCACTTCTTGTTGGGTATTTTCTCTATGCTCTTTTATGTGTGTTTAAGGGGGATATTTCACGGCTCATAGAGATGCAGCAAAATTTAACTGAAAGATACCAAAGTACAAGCCTGAATGAGCAGCAAAGCTAGAACTTTCATAAGTGCAATCTTACTTTTATTTTTATGAGGTTGCAGTAAACAGGAAAGGACAGCAGCAAAATATTCATTATGAATTGCCATCACAACTCATTCATTTCTGACTAAAAAAAAAATTGATTCATAGTATTGAATTCAATTTTTGATTCACAGCAGCAAAATATTCGATTGAATTTAATTTTGATTCACCATAGCAAAAATCGAAGACAAATTTTGATTCACAGCAGAAAAAGAAAGAGAGTTCAATCCACATCTCTATCTGAAATCGAAGCCAAATTTCAATGTACCAAATTTGAGAGTTCAGCCCATTCAATAGAACAAAAATATGAAAGAGAGTTTAGCCAAATTTCAATTAACAAAATCTGAGAGTTCAGTCCACAAAAATTTGAAAGAGAGTTCTTTCTGGCATTTTCTCAAACAGGTGGAGGGTGGGAAGGACGAGTCTACGACTTGTGTCATCATTTTCATCAGGAACAGAAATATAAAAGGAATAGACAGAAATATATGTAAGCATGCTGGAATTGGATTACAGAGATCTAAGGGAAAAGGCAAGTAGTTGATCCTGTAGATTCTGGAAAAACCACAAATCCTTATCAATGTAGATAATCAATGAAGTCAGTATAGAGAGACTTGGAAGCTCCCTGGACGAGACTGTGGATTGGAGGAAGGGGAGGATGCGATCTTCTCAGTGCATTGACGGGTTTCGTAGTAGACAAGGGAAGGAAGAAGATTAGTAATTGGAGAGAGAGAGGGACAGAAAGCATGCGTAGGAAGGGGTCTGAAGGTGATTTATTGGGCAAAAAACGATACCGTTTTTGGTGAGGAAGAATAAAAAAAATATATATATACAAAAAATATCTGAAACGCCACCGTCCCATTTAACCGCATATCATGCGATAAATGGGTTACCGCAGAGGAGCCGCTCCCCTGGAACTAGTACGAGCTTTTACGCGATCCAGCTCCCTGAAATTTTTATTTATCATGCCGGTCTATTTTGAACTTATTTTTTTTTAAATGTCATTTTAAATAACGTCTTCTCATTTAATAACGATTTTAGCCTTAATACAATTATAATAACTAAGCTATAAAAAGTCACTTAGTTATCTATAAAACGTCTTTTAAAGTGATGCATCTAAAAATATTATTCTAAATAATATTTTTAACTTACTATTTTTATTAACATTGTTAACGACGTTACATGAAATGCGAAATTTGAGAAAAAATTATTTGGAATGGCGTCTTTAAAAGTGTCATTTCAAATGAGGATTTGAACGGTATATCAGATCGCTTGAAATTTCCCAAATTACAACCTAGGTTAAAAATTTTCAAACATTTCAACCCCTCTCAGCTCTCCACCTCCACCAACCACTCCCAACCAACTTCTTCTTCGTCGAGCTCCAACTATTCAACGACTGTTATCTCCAATGAGCTCCAACCATTATTCATCCAGCGAATCAGCGACTGAGCAGTGAGCATTGTCCATTCTCCATTCCAGACTAAATCGATTTGCCCTAAATCGATCCAGAACACCAACGACTAAGCATCTCCAGTCCACTGAGCTCCATCATGTCTTCCATCCATCAGATCAGAGCTCCATAAGCATTTCCATCGAGTCCTCCAATGACTGACCATCATCGACTTGTATTGAGCAACAGGTCTACACTTTCTTTCTCTCGTTCAGTGACTGTAATCAGTTACTATATTTTACAATATGATTTTACGATGTAATTATGGGTTGTGGTATAGTGTGTGTGTTTGGATGAGTATGATGCATATTGTCTTCATGAAACTGACATTTGGATTGTTGTATCTTCTCAATATGGGTTGTTTATCACCATCTATAGCAACCAAAAACTTTGAACTGGTTATAAAATGCTTGAAAGGGAGTTAACATGGAGGCCTACTTATCGTTATCTTAATGTCTCCAACCTAGAGACCATTCTGCAGTGCTAAAAGCTTGACTATTAGACCATCAAATAATTTTGTTTATTAGGTCAGTTAGTTTATGTGATAACAACACTCAAAAGGTCTATGCTGGTTCCGTTCCCAACATTGATCGAGTCAGCACATGTTAATTGCCTTTATTTAAATATTTCCTATTCTAAGACTATTAATAATTAATGCCATCACCATATATAATCCAATGGCTCCATCAATATCTCTGAATTTTTGAAACATTTATTCCCTTTCTTTTTTCTTACTTTGGAGTTATGGAGATTAGTAAACTTTGATGCAATTGGTGATATTGATTTGTTAATCTTTGGTTTGGATGAACTTCAAAATGTGAAAAGTCTTGAAGCTTGTTGACATTAGTCAATGAAAACTGGTTAATTGACATGTTCCTATTCACAAGTGTTGATTTCTTTCATATGTTACTCTGTCACAATATCGAGCACAGGTAGTCACAACTAGTTGGTGCAATTCTAAAATCATGCTTATTTTGTGTATGGTTCAAGTGAAGGAAAATCACAACTGACTACGTTATTTTATTTTCCATTCATGATTGCATTGCCTTGTACTACAAAAGTTGATTTTTAAAGGACTATTTTCTCAACTGACTCTGTCATTTTATTTTCCATTCGTGACTCCATTGCCTTGTACTACAAAAGTTGATTTTTAAAGGACTATTTTCTCGGGCCAGCAGTCTCATGTAGTCATAGATGGCCAATTCTCATATATTTTATTCACAGTTTGCGAAACACATATACATCAATAAAGAACATCAAATTGAGCTGACAATGTAACAACATTCCATAGGATTGGACCTTAGACTTCTCGCGGGGATTCATTTATGGCTTGCACTATTTACACATGCATTAGTATCAAA